TTTCATTAAGTGGGTAGAGCTGGGAAAGAAGATTGCCACAGAGAGCAAATTCCAGCTGAGCAGACCCACTCTTAAGAAAGCTCTGCCCTCAGCAGTAGAATTACAATACTCAGTGAGAGATAGGAATGGGCAGACTTGGGTTTGTCTCATTTTGAACCCACTCAAGTAACGCGAGTTCAAAAGCTCAACTCAAATATTGGCAAATATGAGCTTTGTTTAGGAGAGACTGTGGGAGGGAAGTGAGGAAAGGAGAGAGAGAGCAAAATATCTCATTAAAAATATGCACAGTATACACCTACACACCAGGCAATTAAACACAGCTATGTTAAAAAAAGCATTAGAGTTGCAAAGTGAAGAAAGTCAAGAAATGACAAATTTAAGATTTTTTGAATAATCTTTAATTCTTCCAAGGCAGCCAAGCGTGTTTTCAGGCACCACATCATAAACTATCCAACTTGATATCCTCATGTGATTCTAAATTGGATTGCTTAAAACTCTCTCATTTGTGTTGACCCCTATTTAACTCCAATGTCTAATGAACATTTTGGAGAAGGGTCATCTTTGTGGATTTGACAAGTGAGATCTGAAAGGCAAATAATACATATTTTGGAGACAATCTCTAGCAACCTCAGAAAGAGGGAAAACCTGCATCTGTCCATCTCTTTCAGGCTCTCTTTATAAGTCATTAAAAAAAACCCAAAAGAGCACAAATCCCAATTAAACAAGAGAACACCTCTGCATGTCTTCCTTAAAACTCCAGGAAAGGAGAATCTGGCTTTATAGGAACTCATTCTAATTCAGTAGAATTTTCTCTGCAGTGTAGAAGGTCCCTGAAGATCTCCAGGAATGTAGCCCATGCACCACTTTAACTAGAATATATATTTTAACTGAATTGCTTTTGGGAAAACTTTTGAATTCAAAACTAGTTTTGAGAGTCCCCCCAGACACTCTCAAAATTGTTCACAAGACTTGGGGGGAGGGGAGGAAATCTTAAACACCAAAAGTTTGCCCAGCCCAAGTAACAGAATTAAAAAGTCTAGGGAGGACGGGTTAGGTACCATAAGATAAGCAAAAACTTCTACAGAGCAATTAAGACACCACAATATTTATTTTTTTAATTTACACAAACCGCACAAACTTAACATTTAATTATTTTTACAAAGATTATTTCCCTTTTTGAAAATACCCAGATTAAAGTGTCAAAGCCCAGTTTAAAAAAAAAAAAAGAATTCTTAAAAGAAATACTGTTCAGAACGGAGGTTTCACAGAGCGGGGTCAGCTATAGTGAACCTTATGCTTCTAAAATCCTGCTTGTAAGATATGCCCAAGTTAATGGAGAATACGCTCACAGTATCAGGTTGGCTCTAGCAAGTCCTTCTGCTTCAATATTAAACAAATACCATCTTGGCACAGAAGAGAGACATATATTCAAAAAGAAAGGCAGTTTTCAATTGGATCTGAATTTGCACATAAAGACTAGCTCCTCAGCTGTAGCTATAGCTCCAATTATTTCGATAGTGGCACACTGATTGGTGCACCTGGGGATCTGGCCCTGTGACCACACAGAGCCTTTCAACTGAAAGTACATCAGTTCAAAAGTCTTAAATATCAAAATGTTCATTCAGATTCTGGCCAGTCAGTGCTATGCTCTGACTGCTTTGGACAAGAGTACTAGAGCAAAGAGGCATCTTTGCTCCTGAACAGTTGTCTGACCACCCAAATCTCAGACTCCCTAGGTCTCAGCAATCCCACTTGGGTCTTTAGGACATCTCAGTTGGATGATTGCAGGTTATGGTTCCCAGGCCTTCAGAGGCTTTATTCTTTAAGAGTCAGATTCTACAAGAGGTTCAGCAACTCTGATGTAGCACTGAGCACCTTTAACTTCCATGGAGATCAAGAGGAGTTGAGGGCGCCCTGTACTTCACGGGACCAGGACATAGGTGAAAATATAGCTGGAATTCTGCAGTTTGTAGTGCCAGCTTGCTCAAGCTAATGACTGGCCTCTGAACTTTCCACTGTCCTCTGAACTGATCACAGGAAAGGTTCCTGCGCAAAGGCAGCAGGTTTGCATTTTCTGAAGTGGACTGAAGTCTTCGGTAGTCTGAAATGGGAAGATTCATATACATCTTTGGATGTATTCTCTTAGCCTACCAAGGGTGCTTGGGAATTTGTGGTGGTCTCTCCAGTGAGATTTCTCACCTTTAGAATTTGTGTTATTGATATGGCTATGTATTGCCTTGCCCTTTGCTAACTTAAAACAACGTGGACTCCAGAGTCCCCTATAGTCTTTGAAGGTATGCTGGGGATTTCTGGAATTTGAGAACTACAGTGCTTGGGGGGGAAAAGCCTTTTTCATTGTGTCACAAGGACGCTGACTCCCTGCCTGCAGTGATCAAAAAGTCGCTGGTTGTTAATATCTAGATACTTAGGGAGGCTTAGATCCGATAGAAATGAGTGCTGTACACAACTAGACACAGAGAAAGCTTTCCAGGGCAGGGACAGTGTCTTTATTTTCAAGAGAAATTAAATAGCAATACAAATATCTCTGGTTACTTCTAAAAGGTACAATCAAACGTACATTGTATTTAATTAGTGTTAGTCAAGCACTTTGAATAGGTTAAGTGCTAAGTATTGGAAAACTACTAACTTGAGGAAAAAACAGATGTTATGGGCCAGTCTTTCCAAACTAAGCATGTAAACATATTGGCACTGCCTAACTTATGTATAGAAATGCCAGAGGTGTGCACAGTGATCAGATCTGTGCAAACACATGGCCAGTTATGTGCCTAAGTAGTCCATCACTGTTACCCAATTTATCCATAACTTAGGTACATTGACATATATATGTTTGCTTAATCTTGAAAATGTGACTCTCAGCAAATGCATAGAAAACAGATCTGAATAATGCAGAAGATTCGTTATTTTAATAAACCCCCTAGTCCCAGCAGCTTCTCGTCAGTATCTTGTCTTGCATTTTAGAATGCAATATAATTAAATGACACTGTTACTGTATTCGTTTCCATAATATATTTTAAAGCATGTATTTCAAATTTAAAATACACTGTTTTAAAATAGAGACCTACAAAGTTCCAGCTTTCTTTTTCTTGCTCCAGAAAGAGATTCTTTCTGGTGCCTCCTAGCTCTGGAACAGAGTTGCACATGCACCTGGTTTTCTCTAAGGGCTTGTCTACACTTACCGGAGGATAGACGCTGCGGCAATCAATGCATCGGCGGTCCACCAGTCGCTCTCCCGTCGACTCCTGTACTCCACCTGATCGATAAGAGTAAGGGGAGTCGACGGGAGAGCATCTCTCGTTGATATCACGTAGCGTGGACCCCGCAGTAAGTAGATCTAAGCTACGTCGATTTGAATTACGCTATTCACGTAACTCAAATTGCGTAGCTTAGATTGACTTTTCCCTTTAGCAGAGACTAGGCCTAACAGGCCATTTAGCTGCTTAGCCTAGTACACAGACCTGATTCTCCATTCATACCTACATAGACCAAAAGTAACTCCAGTGAAGTGAATGAAGTTACAATAGTTCTGTACTAGTGTAAGAAAGAGGAGAATCCAGCCAGTCTTATTTGTAATTTCAGAATCCACTCCATTCCATTAACAGGGCTCAATCCAGCAAGATGTTGAGCACTCTGGCCTTTATTCAGTAACACACACATAAGCACATGCTTAACATTAAGTACAGAAGAATGGCGACTGAAGTCATTTGCTGGTGTGAGGCCAAAGTGCTTGGCACAGAGTCTTAAGTGGTTAATCTGCTGTTGCTACAAGGATAAAGAACCCCCGTTGTCCACTGTTTCCTGGCTGGCCTGATTATCAATTATAATTTTTAAAACTAGAAACCCAGATCAGTACTACTTTGATTTCCAGTACTCTAGAAAAAACCCCACTGTAAGTGTTTCACCATTTCACTATGGATGGCAGTGGGTTACTAAGTCAGAAGGTCTCATATAACATCAAAATTCACTTTGACAGAAAAGCATGTTTAATTTTGCTTGTTCTGATTTCTCTGCATACACAATACTTCAGCACTCAAAATAACATTTGTCTCTTTAGACTAAAAATAATCAGTTGTGCAATACTGTACATGAACATCACAAATAAATCACTCACATTCAAAGAAGTGAAAGAAAGAAGTTAAGAAATTTCAAATATTAACACTTCAATACAATTTCCATTCAAGTCTCAGTACAGGAACTGGATGCTTGGAAACCAATGTTCTTTTGAAATTACAGCATTACAAGTCCCATTATGACTTCTTTTAACAATCTGTAATATGAAGTTAAGACTCATCCTGGAAAAGTTAAGTTGGGAGGCATATAAGCAGTAGTTAGGCCACAACTCCTCTCGGTCTTTAACAGAATTAGCTGAATCAGTTTTAAACCGGCAGGGACCTAGATTAAAACTAATTCTACACTCTGGTTTTCCCCTAGTCACACTTGAGAGCCAAACTATTTTCACTGAATGAGCCTGAACTGATTTTAAACCTTGATTATAATTAATTATATAGGTGTATATGGTCATTTGGGGGGGGGGGGGGAGAACAGAAAACCCCAAAGCCTTCCATAGAAGATTCTGCCCCAAGGAGCTTACAATTTGGGACCCTGATACTGCAAGATGCTCTGGGTGGGTGATCTCTGTGCCCATATGCAGCCCCATTAGGTCCATGTGCTCAGAGCAGCTTATGGTAGCTTTCAAATACTCTGAGCCAAACTGACTACTGCTTGTAAGCCTTTATGACGTTACTACATTTCAAACATTCACTCCAGCAGTGAATTTGGTCATGTGTGTACATAGGGCCTTAGTGTCTCACAAAAATATTCTGTAGTAAGGCTCCACCCAGTAAAAGCTCTTTTTTAATAAAAATTCCATCTGAATTTTTCACTGTAAAAATGATACAAGATTGGCCAAGTCCTGAAAATCTCTTTAAAAAACCAAAACATTTAAAAATAGTATCGAAGTTAAGTAATTTTTTTTTTTTTTTAAGATCATTTGGCCCTACCAAAGTAAAACAAGTGATCAAATTGGGTCTGACTTGTTAAGCACACAAAATGTTATTGCAACTCTTTACACCTGTATTGTAAGAAACCTGTTGTTCTAAACACTGCAGTCTGATGTTACGAAGCCCAAGCCGCCAGCTGCTTCATATCATCTTCATCTTCCACTTTCTTCCTGGAGGATGCTACAGTGAGAGATTAACAATAATCAGTGACTCAAGTAACAGAGCCATTTTATTCACTGGCAGCAGGATTTGTGTAACGCTAGTCAGCCTAGAGGTATCTCAAAGCAATTTACCAAATAGTGAGCTAAATATGGTAGCCCAGGGAGTAGGCAGACTAAATGCACAGCCATTATGCTCTCACCAGTAGCTCACTTACAGCCCTGGACATTATGGGTCTGATTCAACTCCCTGACTTCAGTGGGAGGTATTTTGAGCCCTAAACACTGGAACAAGGTGGGGAAAAATAAATCAGTGGATAAAAGTTAACTCAGAGTAAATGGTTCAGAAGGACTTTAGAAAAAGAAGGGCTGTGTGCCTAGTTATTAGCTACTGCTTAATTTCAGAATGATATTGTTCAGGAAGCAAGCGTGGCCCATAAGGAAAGGAACTGAAGCTACGTCTCTAAATTTATATGAGCTTTCATTTCATTCGCTGGTAAATACAATATCAGTGGCAAATTTCAGGAGAAGGAGCTGTGTTACTGAAATGTTCTGCATACAGGTCACCCTCCTATTTCAAAAGAAACAAATGGCTGCTTTGCCAGAAAGGGGGGGAAATAACTTCCCATTTCTGGGTTACCTACCTATGTGATTCATTGGAAAATACCGCCACACCTACGTTAAAGGCCAAACAAATGCCAGAGGACATGCAGCCATTTACACCTGCACAGAATTTGGTCCTAAATGTTTCCATGAACCAAACCATACACCCCATTACTTCATGTGAGCAGGCACAACAAATGGGTAAGAAGACTACACTAAAAGTTAAAGCTGAGTTAAATGCTTCATTTGAGCTTTCACTCTCTCCCCCTTCTCTCTCAGGACATGGCTTAATTACAGGAAACTTAAAATGGCAGGCAGCTTACCAGGGCGGGAAGGCAGGGATGTGGATGGGACACTTGGCAATCTGACATCTGTCATTTTCTTATTCAGTTCTTCTTGCTCCAATTCTTCCAATTCCGCCATCAACTCATCCTGAATGCAATCAAGACATCATTTGCAAAGTTATATTTCAAGCAATGGGTTCAGTTAACATCAAGGGCATCTCAAACCACAATCACTAATCAAAGTACCATTAGGAACATAGGACAGGAAGGGATCTCTTGGGTCGTCATGTCCAGTCTCCAGCTATCTCAGGCAGCTCCGTCATATAATCCATTTCATAAATATGTCAAGCGCCATCTTAAAAGCAGGTAGTTTGTCTGTCCCCACAACTCCTATTGAACCGCTGTTCCAGAACCACTCACCTCTTGATGGTTAGAAACCTTCTAGTTTCCAGCCCAAATTTATTCATGACCAGTTTATATCCATTTGTCCTTGTGCCAACATTGTCCTTTAGCTTAACTAGCTCTTCTCCCTCCCTGGTGTTTATTCCCTGATGTATTTATGGAGGGTTGTAATATCCTCTCTCGGCCTTGGTTTTGCTAGGCTAAATGAGACATGCTTTTTGGGGGTTTGTCTATACTGCAAAAACAAAAAATGGCGAGTCTCCGAACCTGGATCAACGAACTCGGGCTTGCAGGGGCTAAAAATAGCAGCCTGCAGACCGGGTTCTGAAACCGAAAAGGAATGTCTACACTGCTGTGTTTAGCCCCATAGTGCAAGCTTGAGTCAGTTAACCCGGGCTCTGAGCTTTGCTGCTGCAAGGATTTTTATTTGTTTTGCAGTGTAGACATACTCAGAGTCTCCTCTCAGAAGATAGGTTCTCTATTCCCCTGATCATCCTAGTATTTCTTCTCTGCACCTGTCACAGTTTGAATTAATCTTTCTTGAATATGGGTGACCAGAATTGTACACAGTAGTCCAGTGAGGTCTTATCAGTGCCTTGTATAACTGCATTAATACTTATCCATCTCTACCAGAAATTCCTCACCTGATGCCATTGAACTAACAGTTTTAATTTAACAAAGAGGATGGGAAAACCCATTGGTGTTTTGTTACATAATACAAATTAGCTTAAATTTCAAAATAAAAAGTCATTTGAAAAAAAAATTTAGAAACAGTAAATTTCTCAAAACTGACCCTTCTTCTGTGAAAAGTTTTGGCAAATGGACATTTTGACGGACTAATGTCTTGTCAAAACATTCCCAACAGGCTCTAATTAAGACCAGAAAGGATGACTATGATCATTTAATCTGACCTGCATAATACAGGCCACAGCATATCTTTTAGAGAGCCATCCAGTGTGGTTTAAAGGTTTCTAAAGAAGACAGATTACATTTCCTGTCTTTTCACTTAGCAGAAGTCAATGGGAAAACAAAACAAAATAAAGAAACCTATTGTTCTTTAACAAGTCACCAAAAGGCTAAATATTGAGGAACTGGGCAAAAAAATAAACACAAAGGAAGGGTATTTTTTGAGGCATGTATTAAAATCTTTTTTTTTTTTTTTAAATAGATAGATATATAGATAGATATAGAGGACTGGAACGCTGTATGCTTGTTTTCAGCTGGGGTGGAAAAGGCGATTAGATTTATTTTTATTGCTTTGGACACTGTTTAAACAATTCTTAGTGCTCATCATTTCAAAATCAATATATAAAAATCTTCCAACTTGCCATGGACTTTGAGCCTGATTCCAAGATGTGCTGAGTGCTTTCAAGAATCAGTTGCTGCCTTCCATTGATTCCAATGCTTATCACTTCACAGGATCAGACCCTTAGGCCCGCAGTGAGAATTAGTATTTTTCACATTTGAAAAAAAAAACTTGGTTTAAAAATAATTAAGGGCCTGATTAAGTGCCCAAAGTCAACAGGAATCCTACTGACTTCAACGGGCATTGGATAAAGCCCTAAGGCCTAGACTTTCAAAAGGTTGGATGCCTAAAGATGCAAACAGATGCCTATTGGGATTGTCAAGAGCATCTGAACAGTTATGTGCCTAACTCCCATTGGAGTCAATTAGAAAGTTTGGCACGTAACCCACTCAGGCACTTTTGAAAATCCTACGAGGAGCATATCTGCATCTTTAGGCAACTAAATACCTTTCAAAGTCTGGCCTTGAGTGTTTAGAGTTGCAAACAGTGCAATGTGTCATACAAATACTGACGTTCAGTGCTCCAGATAGACCCACACTTGACTGGGTGTATATTTGGAGCACTGCAAATCACACATTTCAGTTATGTCCACACATACAGGGTAAGAACATGGAGAGAGAGTTTGTGAGATCAAAACTTCTTTTAAAAATATCTAAATACATTTTATAAATTATTAAATGTATCCAAGCAATTTTAGTCACAACTTGCATGGGGATAAAGGCTTAAAACAAATCACCACACAATAAAATAATCACTGTATTAGGCGGGTACATCTTTTATCCTTGACTTCATTGCAATACTAACCTCATCAAACTCATCACCAAACCCAACTCGGTTTGAAATAGCTTCTGAGATCTCCTGGGCAACTGCTTGCTGTTCAGTGATATCGTCCATCAAAGAATCAATTTTGTCTAGGTCCCTAGAGAAATAGTATTTAAACTGTTTTTAAAATACACATTCTTAGACCACGTCTGCCTTGCGAAAACCTAATCTGAAAAGGTTCTGGTCCCTTTATTAATAAAAACTCTGAATACAGAAAGTCTCCAATTTAAGGCGCCAATTCAGCAAGGTACTAAGCACATGCCGATCTTTAAGCATGTGAGGAGTTGACAAGTCAAACATGGCAGATGTTAGTCCCGACCCTTAATGCACTACAGTGGTGGGGTGGGGGTGGAGTATAAGACCTCATATTGAATAGAACTGATTTTACTGCAACAGGCTTTAAGCACATGAATAGTTTTGCTAAACTGGGGTTGAATTAGAACACCTTTAAAAATCTGAATTACACAGCCATTTAGAGACTTAGGAGAGAAGAGTCCATATTGCTCCTCTAAGTGCTATTCTTCTGTTGCTCTCTCTGCCCTCAGCACCTCCCAAAGGCAATTCAGACCTAATAATAACATCCCTGTGCACTTCGTAGGACGGTAGGGCAACCTTTCAGATTTGCTGTTGAGACAAGCTATTTTTCTTCCAAATATAACATTCCACTATCGCGAGCGTTCCCCAAACATTAAACATTAACAAAAACAAAATCAGAACCAGGTGTCTCAGTGAAACTAAAACATTTAATCCATACAGTCAGAGGGTGAGTTTTACAGCACTGAACCCCCTACTATGGAAGTGGACAGGATGCACTTACATATTTTCATGCACTTTTTTCATTGCTTGTGCAGCATAGCCCATATTCTTGAACACTTCTGTGTTGGTGTGGGAATTTTCCAACGCTTCCCGCTGGAACTCAATGGTGGAGAGTGTCCCATCAATTTGGCTCAACTGTTTCTCATACCTCTTTTTTCTCTTCAGGGCTTGTAATGCAGCTATTGTGTAACCAGAAGGGACAGTTAACTGTCTTTTCAGACTGAAATGCACATACGAGATTCAGTGACAGTGAACAGTGTAAATGGAACAAAGTATAATTTAGGAGACGCTGAGTTAAGCATTCACATTCTCTTGCCTTATTTTAAGCTGTTATCTATAAGCACTGGCCCATAAACAGAGGGAAAACAGGACCTACTCCATAAAAGGCACTGCTCCGTGGTCTGCCTGCCTGGTCTGCTATTGCACGAATTTACCCTGTGGAAATAGGTTAGCACCTCTTGTGCATCAGAGAGAAGCAGCATTGCCTGGAGTCCAGAGGCAGCATCTTCCTTCGCTGCAGGTGGCCCTGAGTTTCACCAGGTCAAAGCATAAAGCAGGACAAGATGGGAGGAAAAGGAGGAGCATCAGAGAGGGGCTGGAAAACAGGAAAAGGAAAAAAATAGGAGGAAGGAAGGAAAAGGAGGCTGGAAAACAGGAAAACCAAAGAAGATGGAGAAAGAAACTATCACATCACTGCTGGCGTCTGTCAGTGATGCTCCTTGAAAGTCACATTCCAGAATTGGCAAGTAGCAGGAGCAATAGAAATCCAGAGTCACTTAGCCAAATAGGTTTCAGAGTAGCAGCCGTGTTAGTCTGTATCCGCAAAAAGACCAGGAGTACTTGTGGCACCTTAGAGACTAACAAATTTATTAGAGCATAAGCTTTCGTGGGCTACAACCCACTTCTTCGGATGCATATAAAGACTGGGAATGGCTGAGCCATTACAAACATTGAATCTATCTCCCCTTGTAAGTATTTTCACACTTGCTTCTTATCAAACTGTCTGTACTGAGCTATCTTGATTATCACTTCAAAAGTTTTTTTTTCTCTTACTTAATTGGCCTCTCAGAGTTGGTAAGACAACTCCCACCTGTTCATGCTCTCTGTATGTGTGTATATATATCTCCTCAATATATGTTTCACTCTATATGCATCCGAAGAAGTGGGTTGTAGCCCACAAAAGCTTATGCTCTAATAAATTTGTTAGTCTCTAAGGTGCCACAAGTACTCCTGTTCTTTTAGCCAAATAGGTCAGTTAGCTGGGAGGGCAGAGTCAGATTTCTTTGGGGCTCAACATGCTTTAGATGGATCTATTTGTCAAAAAAAAACTGTTGTAGGGGCCAATCCCTGACCCTTACATCAAGGCCACCAGCAAGGTTCAGTCACTGCCTACTATCTCTGTGACTCAGCAGAAATAATATAGCAACAAACAGGATTTTTCAGTGGGAGCACAGCAGCATAAAGATACCATAAGGCATAAGCAAAACTCACACAAGAAAAGATGGCCTATGCTGGGGTTGAGGAGGGGTTTCATTCAAGCCCTGGGTGTGGACAGCTGTCTTCCCACAGGTATTCTCCCACTTCTGTCTTTCCAGCAGGCTAGTTTGCCCCTTTAAGAACAGACATTGGGGGATTTATCAGACACAGCTGGGAAGGGGTCAAGTTATCCCTATAAAGGGCTGAGAGAGTTCAGTTGAAGGGAGATCTTCTGGAGGGAGGTTAGCTCCTGAGACTGGCCCTGGAGCAGAGAGAGGCACCTGCAGCCTGTGTTGCTCAGGGAAAGGGTCTTGGGTGTGGTGTTAGTCCTGCCTGGGTTGGGAAAACAACCAACAGCCCTACACAGCCCTTCCTCATAGGCACTTATGCCAGGAAAGGGATGGAGTTAACTCCTTGTGTATTATGGACCAAGTGATACTCCTGCACCCTGTCACACTCTTCTTTCTTTCTTCCTTCTCGCTCATATCTCATTTTTGAAGCTGCTGCAGGACTAGAAGCTGACTGTAACACTGCATGTCACTGGAGCTATAACTAGCCTGACTTATCGCCATATTTGGGGTCAGGAAGGAATTTTCCTCCAGGGCAGATTGGCAGAGGCCCTGGGGTTTTTTCGCCTTCTTCTGCAGCGTGGGGCACGCGTCACTTGCTGGAGGATTCTCTGCACCTTGAAGTCTTTAAACCATGATTTGAGGACTTCAGTAGCTCAGACCTAGGTTAAGGGTTTGTTGCGGGAGTGGGTGGGTGAGATTCCGTGGCCTGAGTTGTGCAGGTGGTCAGACTAGACGATCATAATGGTCCCTTCTTACCTTAAAGTCTCTGACTCTATGACGACTGAGAAGGTTATCTATTGTGCTTCATTCAGACTGCCTGTCTGTGATAATGCTGATTCTAGATACTGTGGCACCTACACCCACAGATGAAGCCAGGCCCCTTACATAGGTGCAGAACAGTCACCATGTGTGGAAGTGCACTGAAATGCACTGTGTTTTACTGATGAATGCCTTGCACTGTGCCTTATCAGTTGTACGAGGACAAGTGTTTAGGTAGATTCTGAAATACAAAATATCTTGCAGTGCCGCCAGCAAAGTGTTTTGGGAGGAGGAAATTGTAGTTACAACATCCCACCACTCAAAAGTACCCAAAACTGGAATGTTCAAATTCAAGATCCACACAGTCTTGCTAGGCTGGTCCAGTGACTACAAATGTACTGAACTGGGATAATGTGTCTCAGCTGACATTATATTAAAGAAAACCTTTGACAGTCAGAACCAGAATTTCCACAACCTACGTACATACTATTTCAACTTCACTCTGAATCTCCCCCCCCCCACACGCATGCATTTTTCATGCTGTTTTACTGCCCTCTGCTCCCAAAGTGCAAAGCACTTCTGCTCTCCTGCTTCAAAATCACTCACTCAACCCTTTTTAGGGGCTACTTAATCATGGATTCACAGTTTTAAGGCCAGAAGGGTATTCTAACTTCCTGCATAACATAGACAGCTTTCAACTGCTCTGGATAAAAGATTTTTCGCTATATCAATGTATTTTATGGTGCCATGTGGCAGAAACGTATGTATGAATTTGGGGGAAATGTCTGTTGTGAGGGAATGTAAATTAATAAGACAAAAAAGGCATTTTTGAGCTGTGAAGCTTAAAAATGGTGTTAGGGTGCCCATATTTCCCCATGCTGAATATGGGACACATGGTAAAATTACTCTTATTCAAGTGAGTTCAATGCCAATCAATTGTACAAATGTTCAAATTATCATCAAGTTGACTGAGCCGCTGTAAAAAAGCTGCATAGTTGGATTCTTTTTATTTACCTTCTTATCTTTAAGACTTTAGGGTTCACGCAGAGAGGGGTAACACACCCCCTACTCCACCACACATCTGGGGAGCAGTGACACACACACCCGTACACCTCTCTCACATGGGAGGGGTGACCAACCAACCTGACCTTCCCTGCCCAGCACTCTCCACCCTCTATGCCTGACTCGGCCCCCAGGACAGACCTACCTCTCCTGGTACCTGGCACCGCCTCTTCCTAAGGCAACACGTGGGGGGGAGGGGGCATGCAGGGCCGCACGCAGGGCCACACACAGATTTCTGCCAGGGTTCACACCAGAATGTGGCCAGCAGCAGCCTTTTGGCCCTGTGTGGGAGGGAAGGGACAGGAGCTGCTTCCAGCTGCAAGGAAGGAGGAAGGGGTGAAGGGATGACCTGGCCTGTGTCTTTGCAGAGTTCATCTCTCCCTCCTCGACCCCTGTGGCTGGAAGCAGCTTGTCCCTACCTGCCCGCACAGCGTCAGAAGGCTGCTAACACCTCCAGGCTTCTGCTGGACACGGACATAACCCAGCCACCGCCGGTCACAGCACAGGCAGGAAGGGGTTAATCCAGTGGTGGGCAAACTATGGCCACTGGGCTACATCCGGCCCGCCAGCTGATTTAATCTGGCCCTTGAGCTCCTGCTGGGGAGTGGGATCTGGGGCTTGCCCCGCTCCCACACTCCAGCCGGGGAGCGGGGTTGGGGGCCGCTCTGCATGCACGAGCTGCAGCTCCACATGGCTCCCGGAAATAGCGGCATGTCCCCCCTCCAGCTCCTACGCGTAGGGGAAGCCAGGGGGCTCCACACTCTGCCCCCGCAGCTCCCATTGGCCTGGAACTGCGGCTAATGGGAGCTGCAGAGGCGGTGCCTGCGTACGGGCAGCGTGCAGAGCCGTCTTGCCACACCTGTGTAGGAGCTGGAGGAGGGACATGCTGCTGCTTCCAGGAGCTGCTTGATGTAAGCGCAGCCTGGAGCTTGCACCCCTGAGCCCCTCCCATGCCCCAACCCTGATCCCACTCCGACCCTCCAAACCCCTCGATCCCAGCCCGGAGCATCCTCCTACACCCCAAACCCCTCATCCCTAACCCCACCCCGTAGCCCACACCTCCAGCCAGAGCTCTCACCCCCACCATAACCATACCCCACCCCAGCCCAGTGCTCCCTCCCACACCCTGAACGCCTCATTTCTGGCCCCACCCCCAGCCAGAACCCTCACCCCCTCTTGCGCCCCAACCGCAATTTTGTGAGCATTCCATACCCAGATGTGGCCCTCGGGCCAAAAAGTTTGCCCACTTTTTAGGTTAAGCCCTAAGGATGCATTGTGCACCAGGGCCCAGGGAACCTGACTGCAAGAGCTTCAGCAAACCTGGCCAGAGAGAGGTGGCTCAGCAGGGGAAGGTGCCTAGGGGCCGGAACAGCCCTGTACTCCCTGGGAGCAAGACCCAGAGTGGGGTGAAGAGGGTGCTAAGGCCCTGTCCGGGGGGGCTGTTGTGGAGCCTGCAGGTTCCCCCCATCCCACTACTCCAGAGCTTAGCTGAGGGGGCAGAGAGATTTCCCTGTGCCAGCGCTGTGTGGGACTTTGGCACATGCAAGGCTTGGCTCCTCCTGGCCAGCACCCCCAGGCCAGAGGGTCTTGGGCTTTTCCAGGGCACCGACCCAGCCAGACGCAGTGGGGGAAAGGAGGAGTCTGCCCGCCAGGCTGTTGGTGAACTGAGCGCTTTGATCAGGGGCTAGTTCTCCATACAGTGCTGGGAGTGGGACGCGCCCCACCAGGAGGGGATATGGAGGACCCAGGTGGGGTGAAGGGAAAAGGCAGGGAGAGGAGAGCCAGAGGGGAAGCATGTAAAGGGCTGATGG